CAGGACCTTTTCTCCCGTGCTTTATAAAAGCTCGCTTTGGCCAGTACCACTCTATAGCCCGGGGCAACCTGGAGCCAGTGTACTTTATCCGCCTTAGCTTGAGCTGCACGGCGAGGGGGGTGTAGATTTTACCCTGCCTCCAGCATTACTTTTGTGATCCTTTACCTTTGCTTTACCTGCATTAGCTGCTGACCTATTCGCTCAAGTCCCCTCGGACAAAAGGTGCCGCACAGGGGTAACTTAACGGTTTCGTAGCCACGTAGAGGGCTGACCTGTGAAACTTCAAGTCGTGCTTGACAAGGGTACTACTGGTTGCTTTCCGTTTCTTCTATAGGGAACTTTGACTGTTTGTGTCTACCGTCTAAGGAAGTGGAGTAGCAACACCCTACAATTCCCTTTTTCGGCCCGAGGTGCTTCAGGATCTCGATCATCCGAATCTTGGTCAATCTTGGGTTGCGTTTTACCGTTTTGTGGACGTCATTCCTACTAATAACTTGAAACGGGAGCTCTTAAACAAGTATCCTTTTCTCTCTCCTGAGAGGGAGCAAGGAACATCGTGCGGCTCTTCGAATTCGGTGAGGACACCAGGAATCAGAAGATCTATCTTCTCATGGCGACTGGGCTTCAGCCTTGGATTTAGCCCACAGGGTTCAATCATAAGGGTTCTTCAACCAACCTAAGCACTAAACCCTAGATCGTTTGGGGTTTAGGGTCTCGGGTTTAGGGTATAGGGTTCAGGGTTTAGGGGTTTAGGGTGTAGGGTTTAGGGTGTAGGGTTCAGGGTTCAGGGTTTGTGGGAAAGGGCCAGGTTTAGGGACATGTTTTATTGTAAAGACTGCTGACAGGCAGATGTCCAACTATGTCCACCCAGCTATACCGTGAACCTTCAGAGCAGGCTTTAGGGTTTGAGGCACCCTGCCTGAAAAGGTCACGAGACTCAGCAAGTGGGCTATCGCTGGTGCGAGAAGTACTCTTAGTGGTGCTGTAAACTTCAAACCCTAAACCCTAAATCCTAAACCCTAAACCATTTCATGATCGGTTTCTAGGCTTTCTGGGTTTAGGGTTTAGGGCTCTGAGTTTCCCCCCCGAGGGCTCTTTTCTGGTTCCATTAAGTCCATGAGAGAGCAACCCCACTAAACCCTAACCCCCTAAACCCTAAACCCCACGCAATCCTAAGCCCTAACACGCTAGTACGAGCCCAAGGCTAGCATCCCCATCTTGCTGAGGAGAAGCTGTCGGGGGGCGACCTCGACGACCTCTTGGAAAGGACTGGTACGGGAATTTTTCCGATGTTTAACTTAAGGTCTAGGGGTTTTCGGTTTCCAAGAGGCTCCATTTTCACTACTATTCGGGGGCGGGGGGTAGGGCCCCCCACAACTATGCGCAAAATAGTCTTTTGGGGGCTTAATTCCATAGCTCTAATCTTTGGACCCTCTGGGTTGTTGAACTTCGGGACAGAACCCTGAAACCCTAAACCCTAAACCAATAAACACCCTAAACCCCCTAAACACAGACAAAGGGGGGCTAGGATTTATGAGTGAGGCTTCGGGCCATCAGGTTTCATAAGTTAGGACCGTAAACCCTAAACCCTGAGCCCTAATACTGGGTTCTTGTTAAGGGATTTACTTTAAGTTGCCATAACAAAAAATCTATAATAAATGGTATGGTTTCGTTGTTACAGCAACTTAAGTTTAAATCCCTTAGCCTTAACAAGACCCCAGAATACCACAGGTTGAGGACGTGAGGTTCAGGCCGTCGTTATCCACCAAGCCCACTAGTCCCTTGAAGAAACCACCAAAACTCCTACTAACGGTTCAGCGTTTAGGGGTTTAGTTGGGTTTAGGGTTTAGGGTTCAGGGTTTAGAGGTTTAGAGGCTTTCACCGTCGTAGTGTTTAGAGTTTTGCCCACCATGCAAATCCTGGACCTTTGTGCCTCCAACAAACCCAACCACAGCCACAAAACGCCTGAACCTCATTAGGTGCAACACAAAGCCGAAGCTCCCATAATACCAATATCGAGGGTTTTTCAGCAGAAGAGCTTCAAAACTAAACCCTAAACTCTGAACCCTAATCCTCTCAACCCTAAACCCTAAACCCTAATGCCTGTAGAAACCGCGTTCAAATACTATGACAACCCCATTAAACCCCCACCCCTCGGGCTTTCACGAGCCCTGACGATTCAAATCCCGAAGAACCCTCCGAAGGACCTTTAAAGGAGACCCCGAACCCGAAACCCGAAACCCGAAGCCCTAAACCCCTAAACCTATAAAGGGTTTAGGGTTTAGGGTATAGGGTATAGGGTTTAGGGACTATACACCCTGAACCTGCACACCCTGGGCCCTAAATCCTAAACCCTAAACCCTGCAACCCTAGCTAGCTCTGTGCGCTTTCAGGAGTGGCTGCTTGGGTGAGCACTTGGTCTCCCGCATCGTTCGCCAGGCTCCAGCTCAACGGGCTTTTTTCCTTACTTAAGGGTTTAGGGTTTAGGGGTTTAGGGTTTAGGGTTTAGGGACGTAGTGATTTACAGGGTGCCTTATAAAGGGATCCACAGGAGGTCTGGGGTTTCGGTTCTAGAACAAGGCTTATGGGAGTTAGTAAGTAATTTAAATGTTAGGATAGCCCCACCTAGGTCAACTATTACCCCAGTTTTTGCCCCGCTCATCAAGTTTTTGTTTTTGTTCCTTCAGTGTTCTTGCCTTGAGGGTCCATATACACTACCATTATGCAATGAAGTCCCGAAAGACCATCCCTACTATGTTTTTTGGGAGGCTAAACTCATAACAGATGGTTTGGGTAGCATAGGGGTTTTCCAGGGTCCTATGGCTCCTATGTACCCTAATCGTAGATACTTAGGCTTCCTAAAACGGTACTTTTAAGGCTTATAGGGCTACTAAGGAAGTGGCTCCTAAAATCCTAAACCCTAAACCCTAACAAACCCTAAACCCCTACACCCTAAAACCCTAAACCCTAAATCCTAAACCCTGCACGCCCTAACTTAGGGCTTTTAGGCTTTGGCAAAGGCTCGTGGGCCCGAAGGGCTCCCTTCAGGGCCCTGTTTAGAAGAGGAGCCTTCAGGTAGCCTAAGCCCTAAACCCTAA